CATTGTGCGAAACATGACATGAGAAACAACTGGATATATTTTATATTTGAGGGGGCAAGCAAGACATTAAGACATTAAGAAGTGGAGCGGAGGAGAGAAGCATGAGATAATAAAAAATATATGAAATTTAATATATTTTGGGGGATTTAGTTTGAGGGGGCACAACATTTATTTGAGGGGGCCAGGCCCCCTCTTGCCCCTGCCAAGACCCGGCCCTGATCTGAGCTGTTTCCAACAAAGCAGCAGGTGAATTTATATATATTTATACATACATATGTCGGCACCTACCTCATTCTGACTATCTGCTGCTGTAATGACTACATTTCCAGAGCATGGCATGAAGTTTATCTTATTTCACCTTATCACTCAGATGCAACAACAACACTTCATCTGCCATCCAAGTAGATTCAAAGGTTTTGTTTATGAAAGAATATATATTAGACCAAGCAATACTCCCAACAGTGGACTCAGCTTTTCATGACTGTGTAATAATGCAGCATATTGCCCCAGAGGCTGACTGAAATACACTGGGCCTGGTGATTCATAGTCAGGCTGCTCACGTCACCTTCTCGCCACTCTTGAAATTGCTGTCTTACCTGGAGACACTGGATTGCCGTCTGGATGAGGCCTGACTCCAGCCTGCAATCTTTCTTCAGCTCCTTTAAGAGACTGTAAATTAGCTGACGGAGCCATGAGCACCTTCCTCGCTTTCCAAACAAGGTTCAAAATGTGCCAAATAATAAAACACCCTGATCACCACACTCACATGTGGTGTACACAGTACATGAACCTGTGGGAATGTTATGAGCTGAGGTACTAATGTGTGGTTTTGGTGGTAAAAGTCACATTCAGCTCCAGAGACCCAGAGTGGATCTATAAATTACAGAGGCCAGCAACAGCGCTGGGCAAGAATGCAGCATACCAATAAATCAGACTTGTTCTTGTTAGCCTTGAAAATACAAACAGGCTTGAGGTGAAGTGGGATTTGGGTTTAACTGATGATTTAACTGGGTGTTTCAAATAGGTAATATTCACATTTTTGACCAATTTCGTGTTCAACATTGACAAACTGTAAGAGGTGATAATTCTTTTCTAGACCTCAGATTTGTATTGAAAACTGACTATGTTTTCGAAAACTCAGAAAAGGGCTTAGGCTTGGATTCAGATCAGATCTTAGAGTTCAACTGTAGACAACCAATCGTGGGCCTCCACTGTAGAAATTTAGGGGTACTCACTAAACAACCGCGAACTGTGACGGACATTGATTTTACTGGTGAGTCTGAAACTGACCTACTGCTACCTCATTCATTCATTCATCCATTCATTTTCCTGTTTTCAATTCAAAATATATTATTTTCATGTTCATATTGTCTTCATTGGACAATAGCAAAGTGTTACTGCCTCAAGAATAACAACATGGCATTTCAAAGCTCATAAAGTAATAAGTTATTTTTAAAGTGATTATGGGTTTGAAATAATGAAGCAAGCAATCCACAGGCAAATTCTCGTATTCTCTGGTGACTGCTGCTCACTCAGGCTTGTACTGCGGCAGTCATCACTTCCTGTTTGTATACTGTCAGTTTCACTGAGGTCAGATGTCAGTGCTGATAAGTTGACATCATTTGACTGTTTGGCTGCAGCAACTCCTTAGTTGCCTGATGTTTTTACAATCGGGACAATGATTGTCCTGACTGTCTTTACTGAAAGACTATTATATGTACAGTAAGTCTGGATTTAAACACCCCCAAAAAACATTATGGTCATTGTCTGCTGGAGCCAAAACAATATCTGCACTGTTATAAGTAACTGGCAGCAGGTTGTTCATTATATTCAGTTGGTTTGTTGACTTAGCAAGTTGTATAGGAGATATCACACTGCATAATATTAAAGCAACTTGAGCTAAGAAGCAACTGAACATAAAAAACTTCTTACTGTATTTTCCTTTTTATATCAACAGAAAGTTAGAAACTGCACATGCAGAATAAATCTTGAAATTTCAATGAATTCTCAGTTCTCAGTCTGTCTGCCAATTTCAGAAAGTTATTATTGTATCACAGTTTATTTAAAAATGGCGATAATATAAAATTCCAAGCAAATCCTTTGGTTGAATTTATCCAGTCTGTGAACAGTAAAATAAAATGTGAAATTAAATTGATTTAAAGAGAAATTCAAACCCACCGCTTATTGTAATTTTCTTTTTTCCCTATAGCTTCTCCAGCTGCCTCCATTAAGACACAGCCCTAAGACATCATGGGAGGCGTAGCGTTGGACGTGGGTGGCGGAGGCGTGAAGGCACCGGATGGAGGGTGGGGCTGGGCGGTGCTGACCGGCTGTTTTGTCATCACAGGCTTCTCCTACGCTTTTCCAAAGGCGATCAGTGTCTTTTTCAAAGAGCTGATCCGGGAGTTTGGGGTCGGATACAGCGACACTGCCTGGATCTCCTCTATACTGCTGGCTATGCTCTATGGCACAGGTAGGCTGCTGTTGTACAATACAATGTACACAGACTACAGGTGGACACAGTAACAAAAACTGCATGTTTTTAATGTAACCCTCAATTAACACCTCATTTGCTGAGCTAATGTCTAATTGAGAGCAGCTAATGTTTTCAATATAAAGGTCATGTAAACAACATCAGAGAATGTACAAAAGTATTAACAACATAACAGCACCCCAAAAGTGAAGCCAAAACATCTCGATTGCCCCCTAGTGGCTGGCTGCAGTCTTAAAACCCTGTCTCCTTCATGTTAGCTTATGGGACAAGGACCAAACTAAAAGGACATGTCAAATAAATGTTTCTAAAAGGTGGTTAAAATTAGGTTGGAGCTGTTTAGCTTATCTTAGCATAGAGACTGATAACTTGGGAGAAACGCCTGGCTCTGTATGAAGGTAACTTTCAATACTTATTTTAGAACACATTTTAAATGGAAATAAATGGCCAGTAGTAAAGCCCAACTGGTATAAACAAAAATCTTTCATGGACATATTGGTTTCGGTGTACATGTTTGCCAGTATGTGCCATCAGATGAACTTTTATTTGAAAGAATAAACAATGCAGAAAATATGTGCATTTATGTTTAAAGAACATTTTCTTAATTGAAGTTCAATATATTTGGTTGTACTATTGTTTTCTTTTATTTAGTTCTTTGTAATTTAATATAAGTTTAGGTTTAAACTGCAAAATATCAGGCCTCAATTATTTTTTTTTGTCATAAGGGTTTGATAACACCATGTTCTCAATCAGATGCGGTCAGATGAGAAAATCACACTCATCTGTCTTACATGCTGTATATCCACCTCTACCACCTGGACACACAGTCGACTAATGTCATTACACTTTGTCAAGGTCCTCTATGCAGTGTGCTGGTGAACCGCTTCGGCTGTCGGCCAGTGATGATGGTGGGGGGCGTCTTTGCTTCTCTGGGAATGGTCCTCGCGTCCTTCTCCACCAGCATCGTCCACATCTACCTCTCTACGGGGGTTATTACAGGTATGACTGTCACAGTCCAGTTCAGTTATATTTGTATAGTGCCAAACCACAAGATACATAATCTCAAGGCACTTTACATAGTAAAGTGCGGACCTTACAATGTTATGGAGAGGCCCAACAGCTCCCACAATCCTCTGCTCCTGTGTAGAGGGGAGAGAAGAGAGACCAGGAACAGTTGTGTAACTGTTGTATTTAAGCTCTGTCAGACTGGTTGTTATGAAAACAATGACAGTGATACTTTAATTATTGATTAATGAGAACAGCAATGATGATAGCGGCACTAGTTAATGATAGTAGTGATGATTATCATACAGTACGATTATGAATAATAAGATAAGAGACTAAGAAAGAAGAAGGTTCTTGTGTCAGCTTGCTGCAAGATAACAGATAAGATAACTCTATATACAATAGAGTATTAAGTCTTAAAAAATATAAGTGAAAATAAATAAAAGCATCAAGTGTATTATAAGTGGAAATGAAAATATAAAGTGTGTAGAAATGTGTAAGAGTGCAGCTTTTTATTACAATAGGAAACATTGCAGTGTTCAACTTTTTTTCTCCTCTACTCCAGGTCTGGGTTTAGCCTTGAACTTCCAGCCATCTTTGATCATGCTGAACCGCTACTTCAGTGAGAAGCGTCCTCTGGCCAATGGCCTGTCAGCAGCAGGAAGCCCTGTGGCGCTTTGCTGCCTGTCACCACTGGGCCAGGTACTCCAGTATAAGTATGGATGGAGGGGGGGCTTCCTCATCTTGGGTGGCATTCTACTCAACTGCTGTGTGTGTGCGGCCCTGATGAAGCCTCTGGTCGCCCCCAAGAGCCTCCAGTCCAACAGCAGGGCGCAGGACACGGAGGAGGGAGCAGAGGTTGTAGTGAAGAAGAAGCCTAAAGGCAAACTACTGGATTTCTCTGTCTTCAAAGACTATGGTTTTGTCATCTACACTGTAGCGGCATCCATCATGGTGCTGGGGCTGTTTGTACCTCCGGTGTTTATTGTGAGTTATGCTAAGGAGCTGGGGAATGAAGACACCAAATCAGCTCTGCTGCTCTCTATCCTGGGCTTCATTGACATTTTTGCCCGGCCCACATGTGGAGTGATTGCAGGACTGAAATGGGTTCGGCCTCGTTGCGTCTACCTCTTCAGCTTTGCGATGATTTTCAATGGAATCACTGACCTGATTGGATCACAGGTATGATTCCTTACGAGCTGGAAGGAAGATTTTATGCCCAATGATGTTAATCCTAAACACATTTACTCTTCATTAACAATTTCACATTTGTTTCCAGGCCAAGGACTACACATCTCTGGTGGTCTTCTGCATCTTTTTTGGCCTTTCCTATGGGATGGTGGGGGCCCTGCAGTTTGAAGTCCTCATGGCAATAGTTGGCACTGAGAAGTTCTCCAGTGCCATTGGCCTGGTGCTGCTCATGGAGGCTATTGCCGTGCTGGTGGGGCCACCTGGTGCAGGTCAGTAAGCACCAAAACTACAACATGCACCCAATCTATGGATTGTATATAATTTATTTTTAGAGCAAAGGACAAGATGGTAATTTACCAACTACCAGTAGATGTTAGGAGGCGTAAGCGGGCACCAGTGGCTGTTAGGGACATATCTAAAGTTTTAAATGAAGGGACTGATGGTATCAGTACTCCTCCAGCTCTGCACCAAGCTTTCGGTATCATTTGCTTTACCCATGCCACGCTCATTCATTTTCACAAGAAGCGTAGAACATCAGGAGCATTCTTATATACCCTATACGGGGTTCCGCTCTGTAGTGTATGTAGTATATATGTATATAAAGATAATCAAATAATCAATAGAAAAATGACGACTCTGTTACCATGACAGTGTGCATGCTTTTTAGCATATATTGCAGTATAGATTTGACTATAAGCTTAGTTTATGAGCTGAATCATTGTCCTTTAGTCCATTGGTTTACTCAATCCAGTGACAACACATATGCACATAACACATATGCATCCATGGAAGCAGACAAACTTCCGACTGTCACTGTAACTGCATGTCCACCATTGTCCCTGACTACCTCCTGCTAAGTACAATTCATAGTGTTGACAGGGAGAACAGTTTCACTATATATGAACTTCATTTCCAGGAGAAAGGTTGTAGTAGAAAACGTAATGCAGTGGTCATCGGTTTCTTTAAGTACGGCAACATGCTAACAAGGACAGAAGGAGTTTTTAAATGTTTTTAAATAAACGTTACAGCATCTCAAAAATAAAAATGTTTCTTGACTATCTGTGTGGTTCTCCTATTTTCTCCTCTCATGAGTTTCCTTGTGTTTCTCTCCTCTTTCTCAGGCCGCCTTCTTGATGCTACCAAGAACTACATGTATGTCTTCCTGCTGGCAGGAAGTGAGGTGGTCCTCTCAGCTGTTGTTCTGGCTACTTGTACCTTCTTCTGTATTGGAAAGATTAAGTCTTCAGCACCAGCACACAGCCTGGAGAACGTCACAGTGACGGGTGACAAGACAGAGGTCAACGATGAAGAGGAGAAAGGAGCAAGAGAGGAGCGGGAGATGGAGAGTTTGAAGGAGGTGGAAAGTGAATTAAAGGAAGAGGAGGAAGAGAAAGAGAAATTAGAGGAGGTCGGGCCCGGCAGTGCGACAGTGGACTCACAGGAAGTGGAAAGGTTCCTAAAAGAGCCACTCCAGAATGGTGACATGGTCATCAATCCTGAAACATGCCTGTGAGCAGGGATGGGGGTTGTTGGACAGAATTATATATATATATTTTAGAATATATAAATATAATTATATATATATTTAATTGCAGGCAATTTTTGGGGTTTTCTTTTGTTTTGTCAAAATATTCAGGAGGAACATGAGCATCAAGTGAATTTTGAAGTGTTGAGCTTTCCTGTCATGCTGTGTTCATGTGTTGATGTTTGTCGTTTGCAGGGATGTAAATCAGTATCACTGCAACTGAAATGTAAGAGTTGCTTTATATTATATATGTGAACCTTTCTCACTAGATGTTTTAAAGTGTGGTGGTTCATACAAGACAATAGAGGAGCTGAGTGATAGCACTGCCTTGTGTATATATAGTTTATTTCACAACTCCACAGTTTTATTTTTGATGTAGCCACCAGCAAATAAAGGTTGGCATTATTCTGTATTCATATTGTGTCAGTGACTAACTACTGATGAAAGTAAGCTTTTAGATATATTTGGTGCAATAATTGTATGATGAATTGTCCTTACAAAAGTAAAACAATTAATGTTTCTTCCTAAAGGCCCGGTCACATCTAAAAGCGGCAGTGTTGGGCTCATCCATGCAACTTCACAAAAAAGCCTTTGGTGCTAAAACCTCGGTGACATTGTGACTATAAGCTGTTTGTTCATGTGCTTTTAAATCGTACTATAATATGGAAACAACACTCTAAAGAGGATGTATTGAATTGTATTGCTCAGAGCAGTAAACTTCAATTGGATTTACTGGACTGGGAAGATTTCTCCTTGGATTACGAGCAGGGCTCAAATGTCATCCACAACTCTGTAATGGTCTTTACCATCATATTTCATTTACTATGTCAAGCCATGTTTAATGTAGTAGGGATGTTTTATTATACAGGGGAACAACGTGTCAGAATTTGGAAAGCACTTAAGTGTATGTGTGTGTGACTGGGTAAATGTTGTTGTCCATCTTGTGTGTGCTGCTGAGGACCAAAGGATAAACAGTTTCAACTCTTATTTTTTAACAGTCGTCGAGACTATATTTTATAATAGCTTGTTGTGATGAGGTGACATCACTGGCAGAATATCACCTTGTTGAGTTAACACCCGTCAGGATGTTGTTGTGTCACAATTCCATTCCACAGGTACATTTTGAAAGGGCCTATACTGTTACTAGTGACCTTAATGAAGCATCACTTTCCCACTTTGCCTTCATGCTTTGTATTGTCTGTAGTAAATGTTTGTGTTTCAGTAAAATAATATTAAAGAAGGTTTATGTTTGTAAAATTGTCTTTTTTTAATTTCATAGAAGCTATAGAGTATAATTACACATTTTTGGCTATTTTCCTGGTAGTGGTGGTAAAATAACTGAATTTATCTTGTTACGCCTGGCTCTGAGGCCGCAACAACACGGCGAATATACATGGCATAAACAATATGCTTTATTGATTTAACATAAACGGAAATGAGCGATGGAGTGTGAAAGTGAGCGTCAGTAGTGTGTGAGGGTGTTTGAGTGCTATGTAGTATGTGTGGTGCATGTTGTCAGGTGCAGAACATAACAAAAGTAGATGCAGCAGGATGGGGATCTCAGGGATGAGTGAGAGAGCAAGACAGCCCACGGCAGGGGGTTTATAACAGCAAGCCAATCAGGGAGCCATGCACAGGAACTTCCAGCCGGCCAACAATCAGCAACCTGCAAGACACACCCACACGGCATACACACCATACACAGACAGGACACAGACATGGGCTGGGGCCGTAACAGTCTTGATCATACTAATAATGGATCCGTTTTTTATAAGTTGCCCTGATATCATATCTGGTGTCGAATCATATGTAGTATTATTTAATATTGTGTATGTTAAAGCTGCACTCATCAATATTCTATATGAACAGAAGGTCAAATGACACTGTGTGTAATGTCCATATACAGTTTATGGTAATGTCACATCAAAACTGCAAGGGGTGGAGCATCCTCTGAGACACTTTTATAAATGTATTACCCTGTAACTAATTCCAATGTATTTTTAGAACTCTTCCTAATGGCACTGATACTGGCAGCCATTACAGATCATAACACGATTTGCTAACCGTCATATCAGGGATATTTTGGCTTCATTTTTTTAAACTAATAAATAAGAAAATCTAAAAATAAACGTATATATACATTTATACGCACATCCATATGTATTTTGTGCAGAATTTATAGTGTGTGATTGAAATCAATTCTCCTGCATTGTGTGAAATAACAAACACAGTAATTAAATCACACGGGACTCTCCGTAAGGACTTAATAAAGTTCTACAAATGACCTGTGGGTGGCAGCAACACGTCTTTGCTGCGTCTAGGCTGGCGCAAATTCCAACAGAAGAGGAAGAAGGACGCCACTACAGCTTGTGGGTAATTTACGGAGTGTGGTGTGGTAAGCGTGGACGAGTGTGGACGAGCGAGGACCCTGCGTGGACCCTGCGTGGACTCACAGAGTGTCCTCTCGAGGCCGCGCGTGGACTTGATGTATTGAACAGTGGGACAGCGCTCATCACGCACGCACTCTCCGGGAACGCGCCCTTTGGTTCAGCACGCGTGCGGCACAGTGTGGACCCGGAGCTCACAGTGATACAGGTGAACCAACACTGTGTGTGTGTGTGTGTGTGTGTGTGTGTGTGTGTGTGTGTGTGTGTGTGTGTGTGTGTGTGTGTGTGTGTGTGTGTGTGTGTGTGTGTGT